TACAAAGGACACAAACTCATCGTTTTTGATGGCTGCATAATATTCCATGGTGTATATGTGCCACATTTTCCCTGTCCAGTCTATCATTGATGGGCATTTGGGTCAGGGTCTGTTGGGGGGAAATAGGGAAGGGACAGTGGGGGGTGGGGAGGTGGGGAGAGATAGCATGGGGAGAAATGCCAGATATAGGTGAAGGGGAGGAAGGCAGCAAATCACACTGCCACGTGTGTACCTTACAATAATCTTGCATGTTCTTCACATGTACCCCAAAACCTAAAATGCAATTAAATAAATAAATAAATAAATAAAATTTAAAAAAAGAAAACAAACCCTTCTTGATGCCTCCCTACTGACACACCCATGCACACACACCCAAGGGGCTCTGGGAGCACATCACTGAGCCCTGGCCCATTGAAGCACATATTCCCCAGCAGTGGGATTGGCTCGGGGATAGGATGGTAAGAATCTCATCCTTGAGTATATGGGATCTGGGAAGAAAAGGGTCTCTCTGTTCCTCAGTTTTTATAAGCTGTGTGGACCGTGTGACATTGGATCTGCCAGTGCCACATTTAAAGAGACATGGCCTAAAAATGAAGGTAACAGAGGAATGCAGAGAAGCAGAGGCCTGGCCTCGTCATTGGAACACTGAATTTGTCCCTCATCTGAGACATCAGCTCCCTGAGCTTCACTGCAGGGGAGGCTCCATGACTTGGGAACCAGCAACCCTGTGCTCCCTCTCAGGTGAGAAAGTAACTAAGCCAGTCCTTTTCCCTTCCTAGGACAAACCCTCACTACGTGAAGAGGTGAACTAATGGTGATAAGGTGATCTATTTGTCAAGAGTGAATCACTTTTAGGTTTGGAGAAGGAAACAAAGCTCTTGAATTATGTTTCTCATTACGCAGAAAGACCAGAGACCTGTGCTTCCTCTTGCTAGATACCCAGGCCTTCTTCCCAGCACATGGTGATGGATATCCAAGTTTTATTTTTTTTAATTTTCTTTTTACAGGTGGACTTCGCCATTGTTCAATTCGTTCTCACATTTTTTTTAAACTCTTGCCTGAGCTTCTTTTTTTTTTTTTAATTGCATTTTAGGTTTGGGGGTACATGTGAAGAACATACAAGATTGTTTCATAGGTACACACATGGCAGCATGATTTGCTGCCTTCCTCCCCTTCACCTATATCTGGCATTTCTCCCCATGCTATCTCTCCCCAACTCCCCACCCCCTGCTGTCCCTCCCCTATTTCCCCCCAACAGACCCCAGTGTGTGATGCTCCCCTCCCTGTGTCCATGTGTTCACATTGTTCAACACCCACCTATGAGTGAGAACATGCGGTGTTTGATTTTCTGTTCCTGTGTCAGTTTGCTGAGAATGATGGTTTCCAGGTTCATCCATGTCCCTACAGAGGACACGAACACATTGTTTTTGATGGCTGCGTAATATTCCATGGTGTGTATGTGCCACATTTTCCCTGTCCAGTCTATCATCAATGGGCATTTGGGTTGGTTCCAGGTCTTTGCTATTGTAAACAGTGCTGCAATGAACATTCGTGTGCAAGTTTTATTTTGCAACTACTGATGGGAAGGAGATGTCAGTAGGAATGAGTCATGTCCCCGCTACCCACTAGATCTCATGAGTTTGTTATGTGTCAGGTGACCATGAGAAGCAGCCCACGGGAATCCAGAGTTGTGTTATTTTAGAATTGGAAGAAGCCATAGAAATGATTGAATCCAATATTTTTGTAGTGAGGCCAATTTAAAAAAATAATAATTATATCAACTAACACTTGGTGAGTACTCACTACAGTTATATGAGCACAATAACTTTATGTGGTTATTTGGTCACTATTTTACTGAAGATACTGCAGTGTAGAAAATATAGCATTTTGCACAAAACCACACTAATCCCAACTGGAGCTGAGATTTGAAATCAAGCAGCCTATTTCCAAAGCTGTCCATCCTCCCAATCTCCTCAGTTGCGATTCACTAACCTCCATGAACACTGACCCTGAGAGTTCCCACATTTTGCATGTAAAAATCACATTTTTCCCACCTCTTCCACTTACTAACAATGTGATTTTGGCCAATTTGCTTGACGGGTCCAAGTTTTATACAACTAACTCACGGGCCTGTTGAGAGTAGTAACTCAGGACACGTAAAACACTTGGTACAACAATAAATACAAGCATTTATAATTATTGGTGTTATAAGTAGCAGCATTGTTCTTTTTAAACAAAAACGTGCTGATATTTTTCCCTAGGAAATAACTCTCAAACTTGAACAACATATTTTTAACCTGAATTTCTGGGCGAGATGTGTCATGACACAGCAATATCAAGTTTAATTGATAATTTCAAAAATACAGAATATCTCCCATTTAGGTGAGGTGAGGGACATCTGGGACTCTACGGGGAGTTCCTAGCCCTTCCCGCATCAGACACGGACTCTCTCTTCCTAAATAATAGCCGGAGTTTCTAATGATGTTGCAGTTCATCTCAAACAGCAAGGAGAACACCTAAGTTATGAAGCACATCCATTGTGTACCCCAAAATCATAAATCCTTAGATTATAGGTTTATCATAAGTTATCCTTGAGTCAGGGATATCCTGCTAAAGATATTCTGTAGGTTTTTTTTCACGTAGTAAAAATCCCTATTTATCAGAGGTCCAGTTGGCAAGGAGAATAGACAGTCATCTGTTTGCTTTGCTTTCTCCACCTGGCTGCCGGGGGTGGGGGGCTTCCCCACGAAGCAAATGAACTGGTTGCAGACCAGCTATTTTAACTCTTTCCTTCCTAGTTCCACTAAAAATTATTAAAAACAGCTATGCTAGATCCTGTAGTTCAGTCTGTGTCTCATATGCACTTTCATAGCATAGCTCATAACAATGTCTCATCCTTTGGTATAATTCCAAGGCTATGTTGCTGCCAAATTATTTGGTTTTCAACATATTGGCTTCCTTGACCAACTCAAACTCAAATAAATCATACATTATTGAAAGTAGTTGCCACTTTAACTGTCTCTAAATATTGGAATAATTTTTATTTTAACTTTTCTAGTAATTTCAAGTATAACATAAATACACAGATAAAACAATTTAAAAAATATATCTAGGTAGACGGATAAATATTATAACCAAGTATCCCCATTTTTCTAAGTTTAATTTGTTTTACTATTTTCTCTTTTTTCTGCCTTTCCCTCTTCCTACTCCCCTCTTCCTACTTAGTGCTTTAGAAATGCAAATACAACCTTTTACCTCCCCTCACCAGGCATTCCCTACAGGGCACGTTCACCTGTGTACTCCCAGATCTCTCCTTGACTGCAGATTTGTAGACCAAAGCAGGCCCCAGGGAAGCCTCACCTCCAGGGGGTCACCTCAGGAGAGCATGTAGAAAGCATGCCGACTTGGCCACTTTTACAAATATTTCTGCCCAGGAAGGCACCGACTCCACTGCCCGGTACATAAATGACACCTTCCCTTGCTCATTTCCTCCCCTACTTTATAAAAGTACCCATTTCTGCTCCCAAAGTGAAGCAGCACATTTAAATCCAGGATGCTTTGTTTCCTTCCCCAAGCTAGCTTCTGAATAAATTCACATTTTCTTTATCAGACCTCACTCTCCCTAACCAGACTCTACATTCAGCAAGCACTAACCTGCTTTTTGATTATAATAGACCTTTTAGAATATGTTATGTTCTACTAAAATTGCGCTGCCATTGCAATATACTGCAGTTACTTGCTTAATTGCTTGTCTTTTGAAAACTGTAAGATCAAAAATATGTTTGGCCACTTAAGACACTAATAAATCCAGTAGTAGAACACTTTAAAGGGGGGGGGTGTCTGTTTTGTTTACCTCTGTTTATTCAGAACCTAGCATAGTCCTTGATAGAAACATATAATTGAATATTCTCTTAAGCACAAGTTATTGGAAAAGTAAGTATCATGTCTGTTCATTTGTTTTATGTTATCACTAGTTTTCACAAACATGGGGACCATCAGCAGGAATGTGAGGAATGTATAGTGCTGCCAATTAATCACTAAGAGGATATTATAATGCCTAAAACTCGCTATATATTGAATTTTCTTCCAAAGCATTTCCCCAAAGATATATTAAAATTTTCTTTAGAAAATAAGTTTCTAATGATAGTCCACATTCAGAATTTATATACCCAAATACACAACAACCAGCCCAAGGAAAGGATGTTGATTTAGATGAAAAACTATTTGCTCTCTTCTTTCCTTAGAATTTTTCTAACTTATTTTTGTACCTAGTTCATTAACCAATCAAAGAATCCATTAAAAATGGAAGCGGAGGCCCGTACCACACTTGCACTCCGGTCGCTTATGAAATTGACTTACCAAAGATAAACAGTGGTAAGAAATTTGCTCCGTTTGGAAATGAGACTAGGACTTAGTAGTGTGTTCTTCCCAATTAGCAAAATGAGCCTTTTTACTTCCCATGCCTACGTTTTGCTTCTATTTACACAAATCTTTCTTTTATCAAGATACTGGGTTTTAAGTTGTTCTTTGTGTATAAAATTCACTTGGTTTAGAAACAGAGCAGTCTTGGCAGGGAGGTGATTTTATTACACTGGGAGCAGGGCAGAAGGCTGCTTGTGTTTCCAGGTAGGGTTGCTATTTCTTTATGATTTATTGATGGAACAGTTTGATTTTGAATTTTGCATGTTTTTGTAGTGAAAAAAAGTAGATTTTCATTGGGAAGGCAGTAGGTAACATTGATTCTGGGGTCCCAGCAGCCTTATTGGGAAAACAGATGAATTATCCTAAGAGATTCCCAGGTCTGGGAATTAAAGATCACAGTTTAGATCCCCACATATTTTGTTTCTATCCACCAGTCACCCACAGCATTGTCATGGATGGAAAGTTAGAGTAACTAACCCTTATAGTTTAGACAAACAGTTTCCAGTGTTCTTGCTAACGTGCAGCATCACTGAAGTAATTATAGAATAAACAATTTACCACAATAATTGACTGTTGCAATTTTTAGCGGGTACAATTTTGATTTTATTGCAAGGCACACAATCATATATACAATGCACATTTATCATCTTTTAAAGCACAAGATAAAAATAATATACATTATAGTAAAGAACATATGAGTATACTTTTGTTTCCGAGGAGAAAATTGACTTAGGAAGCTGGGTTAGACTCTTTTTGATTTTCATATTTATGTTAAATCATCCAAATAGCTCTTGGTTAGAAAATAAATCTCATTAATAGGACACACAACCCTGTACAGCTTTCTCTTTACAATGTTCCAATTTAAAAACAGCCAATGTGCTCCCTGCATTTGTGTGAGACATCTTATTTCACCTCAGGACCAGATGAAACACCCATCAATTGTCTGACGATAGTTATACAAGTTTAAGAACTTTTATTTCTCAGTACTTTATCACAGAATAGAACCATTTTCTGAAGATTTTATGTGACTCTTTATTGATTTTTTTCCTCCAAACGATTTTTCAAAATGATGAATCATTTTTTAGTATTAAGCCTGGAGTTCTGACTTACATTTGAGGGACGCTCTTAGATTGGTTAAGTATTCTGAGACGCTAAGAGGGTTTCTGCTTTCCTCCCAGTTAGAGTGGGGGGTTTCCTCCTCAGCGCTGCCCCTGCATGGCTGGTTCACTTCTCTGTGCCTTCTCTGACCCATTGCTAGGACCTGTCTTCCAGGCATTCTTACCAGAATGGAAAGATAAGGTTCATGTAGAGCATCAATCACAAGGTTAAACACATGCAGTTCTGGTCTCAAAGAGAGACAGCAGACAGTGCCCTTCTGACTGAGGTCAGAGAATAGGAGCGTCAAGAGATGAGAGATATTGGAGAGCCAGAGGGTCTGCATTGTCTGGAGCGGTGACTACATGGCAGTGTTGTTCCTGCTTCACAGCAGGACATTAGGACACACACACAAAAAGCATGTACACACTTTCAAAAAGAAATACAACTGTGTAAATGGTGTTTTCCCTGCCATGTCATCCACCTTATCATTGCTTTAAAGCAGTGCCCTCAAATGACACCCCCTTCTTCACTCCTTTTTCAATGTGGGGGAGTCAGTATTAACAAGAATCAAAAAGCTTGACACCCTCGTGGGCACATACAGCTACTTTTCTCTCCTTGGGCTGCAGACTTACGTATGAGGAGAAGCAGGAAAATCAGGCAAAAATTCAGATTCCAATAATGGCAATTAATGCTATGAGAGTGTGTGGACTGCTAATTTAAAGGAAATAGACCAGGCACGGCCACTCATGCCTATAATCTCCACACTTTGGGAGGCCGAGGTAGGTGGATCTTCTGAGGTCAGGAGTTCGAGACCAGCCTGCACAACATGGTGAAATCCTGTCTCTACTAAAAATGCAAAAATTAGCCAGGCACGGAGACGTATGCCTATAATCCCAGCTATTCGGGAGGCTGAAGCAGGAGAATCACTTGAATCCAGGAGGTGGGGGTTGCAGTGAGCCCAGATTGTGCCACTGCACTCTAGCCTGGACAACAGAGCGAGAAGACTCTGTCTCAAAAAAAAAAAAAAAAAAAAAGAAGAGGAAAACACACTACTGTGATTTCATCTCACAATCCTGTCTCTGCCATATTTTGCCCTGGACAAGTATCTGACAAGAAAGTCTCTTGGATTTTCGTGTTCCATAAAGAAGTTTTTGTCTCTCCTACTTCACCAGGGCTGGTTTCTGGAACTGTCCTCTATATAGATACCTTTCCTGAGCCACAGCCAAGATTTTTAACCACGGGATTGGTATAAACCAGTATTTAAGCCATTCCTATTTACATTCAGTTATAAAAATACAAGGGCAGCTAGGAATACTCAAAAGAGCACTTCATTTTCATGAGGAGAAACCACTGCCATTCTGCCGTATGTCGTCTGTGTTGGGTGCCATGATAATCTGGAGTAGAAGCAAACATGGTAACATTCGGAAGCCACATGTAAAACCTTCAATGCAAGGTTTTGTTTCCAAAAGGTGAGAGTAGGCACACACTGAGAAAGTGCATGGTGAACAGAACTTAACAGTTGTAATGATGTCTGTAGTTACACAGGGCTATGTATTCAATTTTTCTATTAAATTCCAGAGGATGCTGCCCTAATAAGATATAGGCTTGGAGATGAGTGTTATTTCTAAATTATCCCCTTTTTCTTCCCAGGCAAATTACAGAAAAAAGCCATTACCTTTGAAACGATAAGTTTCAGGGGGAAAAAGAGGAAATTTATATGTCATCTGGAAGTTTTAGCAAAATTATCCTAAATGTGCTTTTCCTGGCATTATCCTCAGCAGGGATGCCCTTCACAGAAAGCTGTGCAGGATCTGTCCAGGCTCCAGGAGGGACATCATGTCCTTATTCAGCACACATTTAGGAACAATTCTACTTCCCGCCGAGAGCCACAAAATAGTACCTCGAGATCCACAGAGGCAAAACACCTTCCTCTCCATGAATAGAAAGGAGCTGCGAATCGCTATATATTCATAAAGAGATGTGGCAAATAAACGAAATTCTGCTACAGCTACAACCTGGGAGCGAGTTAAAGCCTCTGTGATTCATTAACACATGAGCTATGAGCACTGTTACAGGACTAAACGGTGTTCGGGGAGTCTGAAAGAGATCACTCCATGACTAATTCCCAGCAAAACGTCTCAGCATCAACTTAGCAACTCAGGGGATATCATTAGTGTGCCCTCAGGAAATCGCCTGGCTGGAAAGCAAGCCCTTCCTTATTTGCACATGTACTAATATTTACAGAAGAAACTGTATATATTTTCAGTGGTATTCAAACTACTTTATGTTTCTTGACAATGGGACATGCTTTATCGTAGGACTGTCTACCTGAACAGCATGCTAAGAAAAAAAATCTGTAGTTTTCGAGAAATTAAACCCCGTTACAAACAACCTTCTGAATGTTTAAATAATTTCATAAATAGCAAGATAATGTTCTGGTATAAGTGAACATCGTGAACATCAGATGCCTCAGATGTTGGTCCAAGCCCTACATAAGCTGGAATTCTCACCACACAGCCACGTGAAATGCGTGTCCACACAGCATACACTAAGCTAGCCATGAGCCCTGGAAATAGTTCTCATTCTGTTGGAGGTCGTTGCTGTCATTGTTAAACATGTGGATTGCATGCCCACTGAGCTCTGAAAGAGATGTTTCTTCTTTTCCTTTTTTCTTAAACCGAGCTTTTGAAACCACATTGCATAGGAAGGCCACAGCAAATGGGTGTTAAACTTAATCTAGAAAACCGGAAGGAAAAGGCCTGTTACCTTGTTCATCAGAGGAACAGAGGGTCTGCCTTGCTTCTGTGCCCTAGAGAAGAGGTGCATGTATTGCATGGACCTTTTGTCTTTGATGTTTCCACTAATCGTGAATGCTGTCTGCATCTGATGACTTCAGACCATGAGATGTCTAAAAGTTTATTTCAAATTCTGTCTTTTCATGTCAGACCGCAGTGGTGATCTGAGTTAAACCTAGATCATTCAACTCCTCTATTCCAGAAGAACTGTAAGAAGACATCTCCACGACTAGTCATACTGGTTTATTCATCCCGTCGACGTCCCTCAGGTAAGCAGGATCCTGAACTGTATTTCGGACTCTGCTAGTGCTCTGCCGCTCCATCCTCATCTTCAGTGGAAAGCAGAAGTCCCGGAAGCACCGCTTGAAGTTTTCATCAAGAAAGGCATAGAGAATGGGATTCAGGCTACTGTTGGTATAGCCCAAGGCGATGCAGAAGTAATAGCTGGAGAGAGCAGCCGTGCTGTGGGAGGTGCTCCCCAGAGCCTCCACCAGGATGAAGATGTGAATGGGGGTCCAGCAGATGATGAAGACCGCCACCACCACAAGGACCAGTCTGGTGATCCTGCGCAGGTTGCGATCTTTCTCTCGGGAGCCAGAAAGGAGTCGGACACTCTTGAGGCGCAGGATCATCAGCGTGTAGCAGACAATGATGATGAGGACAGGGATCACGAAGGCAAAGACAAAGACACAGATCTTCATGAAGAGGTCCCACCAGGAGTAGTCATCATCCGGGAACTGCAAGGAGCACTCGATGACATCCACATCTGGAGGAAGGCGACAAAATCCACAGCACAGAGACCTGTTATTGCTATTACCATGGCTGCAAAGTGTTTGAAACGTGAATGTTAATGCCTTTGATTGCAATGGTCCAATTATGGTGAGATGACATTGCCTGAAGTAGATCACCAAATTACTAATGAATATTGTATTTTATTAACCATCCTAATCTTTGTACATGGAACAATGATGATAGTCACTGTTTACTGGTAACATGCACAATACTGTAGAATTAAGATTAGCTGACAGTATCGCTCATCTAGTTGCAGAAGCTGATTTGACACTGATGGCTTGCAGAAGGGCTAAAGAGCTGATATATAGCATGAGTACTTATTTCTATTTCCATTCATTAACAGTTCTTCCAGACCCAAGGCTCTGGCAGTAAAAAAGCTAATGACTATTTGTAATAAACTATTAAATATTTCAATGTAGTCACTGAATTTAGCAAAAGCCAACTTGTTTGAAAAACATTAAGTGGTTTACAGGAAATCATTATGTAGGTCAACAAAAATTGATCTAAAATTTGTTTAAATATGACGCAGGTATTGTGATTTAGTGGAACCAACAGCACTCGCTGTGATTAAGGGCACTACTGAAACATGAGTAGAGCCTTTGGAGGAGGCGGGGGAGAATCATCATCACCATCAAGGAAATTCTGAGTAAATCAGGCACATTTATTTTCATTTTTACCAACATTATTATGTAACTCAGATAAAACAAGTATTTGTATGTGATTACTTAGGAAATTGCTTTATTTGCTGTGCTTCTCTTTGCTGGGTAGTATTCTCTTTGGAGTAGTCTTGATACTAGGAAGACCAGGGACTCAGGATCGACACCTTCTAAACCATTTTTGTGGGTGTCCCATGGACTCCAGCCAGCCTACCTTTCCAACCCCTGCCCCAGAGAAGTCAGTGAGCACACAGCAGGGCTCTCTTTGCCCTGGTCCTTCCTCACAGACAAGGTGGTCATAAGCAACACTGTATGATTACTGTAATGAAAATATTTTCTTCTGACATTGAAAAAATCTGCTTCAAAAATAGCACACAAATATTTTTTAAGTAGCAAAACAGCTCTATTAATAATGTTTTCTAAAACATTTTCATGCAGTCAGTGGAATATTCCATCCTACTAGAATTTTAATCACATATACTTTAAAACAATAAGAATATAATCATTTTTTTTTTTTTGAGACTGAGTTTCGCTCTTGTTACCCAGGCTGGAGTGCAATGGCGCGATCTCGGCTCACCGCAACCTCCGCCTCCTGGTTTCAGGAATTCTCCTGCCTCAACCTCCTGAGTAGCTGAGATTACAGGCACGCACCACCATGCCCAGCTAATGTTTCATATTTTTAGTAGAGACAGGGTTCCACCATGTTGACCAGGATGTTCTTGATCTCTTGACCTCGTGATCCACCCGCCTCGGCCTCCCAAAGTGCTGGGATTACAGGCTTGAGCCACCGCACCCGGCAGGGATATAATCGTTTTTAACAATTAATCAAGATGACTATCTTAGAGACCTTCATGTTATCTATGAAATACCAGATCAAACCTTCGAGTAGTAAATGAATGCTTCCAGAGTAATTTGACATTTTTGATTTTTTAAAAAAGTCATTGTCCAACGTAATATTACTATGAAGACTATTGACTTTTGCTTTAGTGTTGATGGTAAATGATTTTTAAATGTTTCTAGTGTCAAAGAATATAAGGTATCCATTAAGCTACTTTTGATGGGTGATACATGAAAAAAACATCTGAGTTCAATGTAAATATTCAATTCTGGATTATGACTTGTTTGTTGAAACTGGTAGAAGCGTTTCCTTGGAGGTAGGGAGCATGGTTTGGTTTGGCTTTTTCTGCTTAGCTTTTGATTTCAGCCTTAGCTCTTTCTTGTGGCTGACCTCAGCTTAAATGTCACTTCAGAGACATTCAGATGGATGTGTGTCTCTTAAATGGTCCTCTCCTTAGTAACTTATACTTTGTCTACATTTTATACTTACCCAATCTCCCAGACAGAAGCTTGTCTGATCTGTAATTATGTGTTACCTTCCTGACATTTTTCTCTCCATCCAGAATGTGAGCTGCCTTCATAGAAAACCCAGCCTGCCTTAATCAACATTGAATCCCTGGCACCTAGGGTAGTACTGGGAACATGTGGTGCATAAAGAGAATAAATTGTTAAATAAATGAACAAACAAATACATACCACATGAATAACAAACCCTCGAAAATGTGTCCTAATTACAGCAGTTACTATGGAAAAGTCACCGGCTAAACTAAGCTAAGCAGAAGCCACACGGGGCTGCTGTTTAATTTGATAGATCTTTAACTCCGAGGCTCAGCTTCCTCTCAAACCATCTTGCATGTAGTGGGAGATAATACGTATTTGAGTGGGTGGAATAATCAACAACAGCTACTCAAAATACAGTTTGAAGGAAAAAGATGTGTTCGGTAGCACAAGAGGGTGACTACAGTTAACAATAATTTATTCCATATGTCAAAATAACTAAAAGAGTGAAACTGGAATTCCCTAACACAAATACAGGTATTGATCGACTTACGACCTATGCAACTTACGACCATTCGACTTTACAACCACAATCGCTAGCCACGACTGCTCCGCATCTGGCAGCGCAAACGTTGCCCAGCTGGGCGTACAACAGTGCGGACCAGCTTCCGGCAGCACTACCATCTCCGCGTACATATAGCCTACTCAACTTACGACCAAATCGTGTTACGACCGGTCTGTCGGAACCAATCGTGGTCGTAAGTCGAGCACTAGCTGTAAATGATAAATACTAGAGGTGATGAATATCCCAATTACCCTAATTTGATCATTACACAATGTATGCTTGTATTAAAATAGCACTGGTAACCCCCCCCAATGTAAAACTATTATGGATCCATAAAAACTAAGCATTTTAAAAAAAGAAATTCCTGTCCAAGCCTGCCATTTTTATTAAATGTTCTGTTTCAGGAAGAAGGGGGCATTTTCAGGTTGAAGTATCCATACAACTGCCTCAGTTGAAAAAGCAGGCTTTTGTTTCCTTGTATATTACTATCAGAGGGCTGCGGTTTCTGCTGTCTCAGGTTCCAAATTCTCATGGTTGTCTTCATTATAGTTAGTTCTAATAGCTAAACTAAAGCTTTTCTTGTGTACATTCATGTTGTTAAGAATAACTGTTTCTGCTTATGGCGATTCTAATAATTCTAAGCTATTATAATTACAGTAAGTGCAGACTATGAACTCTCAAATAATATATACACATATACTGCAGTATGGAAAATATTAGAGCCAACATTTTATGTAAAGTGAAGGCTTTGCCTCAGAAGAGTTTCTTGTACTTTATTTCCATTTTCTGTAGGCATGAAGCAACAAAATTCTGTGTGTGATCAATCACACTTTAAAATGCAAATATGATAAAGGAAGTTGGGCATTTCTTAAAATTTACCTAGTAGTATAGCTTGACGCCTGCTGTGACTATGCTAGAAATTCATTTTGTAGTTTCAGAGGGAAAAAAAACAGCTTCATGAAAAAACAATCAATACGTGTCATTATACGTTTGTCCAAACCCACAGAAGGCACAACCCAGAGAGTGAGCCCTCCTGTAAACTACAGGCTTTGGGCGATAATGACGTGTCAGTGTGGGTTTCGCAGCTGTAATAAATGGACCACTCTGTGGGGGATGTTGATCATGGGGGAGGATGTGCCTGCGTGGGGGCAGGGGGCAAATGGAACCTCTCTGTGCTTTCTGCTCAGTTTTGCCGTGAACCTAAAACTATAAACTGAAACCTAAACAGATTAAAAACAAACAAACCATATACATGCAAGACAAGCTATGATTTTAGTGCCTTGCCCTTTCACCATGACCTGGAAAGTCCTCACTATATATAGTCGGTTATCTGCTTTCAGGGGTATTATGGGCCTCCCTAATAAACTGGAGCATTTAGATACCTGCTGGAGAATTAAACAGCCTGAGTAAGGGCCAGAGTGACTGTTCTGCTGGCCTCTCCATCACGAATTTCTATGAGGAACAAAGATGCTTTCCATAGCTTTACTTTTTGCTAATAAAGCAAAACTCCTAGAACAGTAACTCTCACCTTGGCTGCAGGTCAGAGTTATGTGGAGAGAGCTCAAAAATATTGACACCCAGGCTGTACCCCAGGTCAATTAAACCAGACCCTTTGGGTGTGCGACACAGGCAGCAGTGTTTTCTAAAGTACCCAGGTGACTCCAATGTGCGGGCCAGGGTGAGAACTACCATCCTAGAATGGAAATACAGGAAAAACATCAATTGGCTGGTTTGTATGGGGTAAGGCCTGATCTGTCCAAAATCAAACAGTTCTGCTCATCTGTGACTACCATTCATCTCTTAACTTGATTTTGAATGGCCTACAGCCAAAGCTATTAAGATAGTGATGTGGAGGTTATCCTTTAGGAAGAAAAGAGGAAAGAACCGACATTTGTCACCCATAATTGATGCCCCTTGTTAGAAAATAAGAGTGAGAAGGTGTGTCCTGGAATTGTCAGGTTGTACTTTAAAATTCCACACGCCTGAGGTTTCTTACCTCATCCTCACCCCTCCACATTCTACTAAGCACTTCCAGAATGGGAGACAGGTCGGGCATCTCTTTCCTGGCAATGCCATTATTGCATTCTCTGTTTACAGGTGGAAAGGGACATAAAACGGTTCTATTTCTCTCATCTTTCATGAATCCAGGCACTATTTCTATTGCCTTTTGGCACTGATTTCCACAGATATGTGTGGCTATGTGGCCTACTCCCTCCAAATTAAAAATCTATATAACTTGAAGCTACATTTTTATGAATGGAATGAAAATGACTGCTCTTACCTTCCCTGACTTTGGTGCCTCCGAGGACTATTGCGGAGATACCAACGGATGACGACAGCAGCCAGATGCAGATATTGATGATCTTTGCCTTCAGGGGCGTGCGGAAGTCCAGAGCCTTCACGGGGTGGCACACGGCAATGTAGCGGTCCACGCTCATCATGGTCAAGGTGAAGATGCTGGTGAACATGTTGTAGTAGTCGATGGAAATGACTATTTTGCACAGCACATCCCCAAATGGCCAGGAATTCATCAAGTAGACCGTGCTCTGGAAGGGCATGGTTGTAGTCACTAAAGCGTCTGCCAAGGCCAGGTTAAATATGTAAATGTTGGTTGCTGTCTTCATCTTTGTATATCTAAAAGAAAAGAAACAATAGCGTTTCCCTCCATTTTCAAGTCAAATCCATGCGGTGAATATGTTTGTGATAGCGTTTGGATGACTGATTTTGCTTCTTTGTTCAATTAAATGGACTGCTGCAGACATTGGGGGTGATAGGAAAATAGACAAAGATCTCCAGCTTTATCAAGTGTTTATTCCAGTGCTTTGTTTGAACAATTTTAATGAAGAAGACAAGGAATACAGCAGAGATAGAGGGGTAGATACATAGACCTAGTACTGCACATAATACAGGTCTTCATTTTGTGGCTAACAATTCTTCTTAATCCTGCCCAGAGTCACTTGGCTTTAAGCATTTTTCAAACAATATATTCTTTTTCTTTGACTTGTTTAAAACATTTTTTCCCCTCAGGGTTATTTTGAGAAATCAATCATTATACCTGTGATGCCTTTTGAAAATACAAAATGGTTTTCAATTTTGATATATGTTCAGTTGCAATGACTAAAACACAATTAGGCTTGCTGATTTTTGTTCTCCGGTGCACCATTAATTTGTCATTTTGGATATATTATATAAATAAAGCAGGCTGAATTCTGCTCTTACACATGTCATAGCACTAAGCATAGTATGGTACAATAGGAGAGAAATAATTCTGTCTTTCTTTATTCCTTGAGATATTTTCTAAGCACATAATATGTCTCATCTTCCAACGGAGAGAAGAACAATTTTCAAGGAAGGTCAGAATGATTGCTTTGATGCCTGAGGTATTCTTTACATTATAACATGTTGTTTAGGACAACTTAATTTTCAACTAAGACTGAATTAAGAGGGTTGTCTTGCTTACAGAATGCTTCCTTAAACATCCATAGAGCATTAAATAAATGTTCCAAACCCTACCATCAGGTTTTCAAAGGCCGAGAGCTGAAGTTTGTTGGGAAAATCCATATGTTGATTATCTTCTACAGCCTCAGATTTGAAGACCTTGTCACAATTCAAGTGTGCCCCGTTTGATACATGAATTTCCACATGAGAAACAACTTTGAATATTCTGTGATAACAGAACAGCCCCGGCTCCTCTTGGAGGCAGTGTGGTCTCATGCGAACTCAGACAGTCCTGAGTCTGAACTCAGTGAATGACTTATCTGAGTTTCAGTTCCTCCTAAACAAGAATCATAAAACCTAACTCACAGTTCATGAGACAAGGGCAGTAGAGCCTGACGAACAGGATCACACTCCACCCTCAGCGTCCACTGCCTTTCCCACCTCCCATCTCTTCTCATTAGGAAGTGGCTGTGTTTGGGCTCAGCTGGGAAGGCACTGTGAAGATGGGTACCAGAGTTAGTATCTGTTGGTTTCCATTTATACGGTCTGCTAACTAAAGAGTGATTTCATCTGGAAAGCTAGTCTATTTTAAAATGCGATTGGCTTTATACTTTTTATTCAGGCATTATTACATGACCCACCATAAGTTTTAGAAAGTGACTAAACATGGGTGGCGAAGTTCTCACGGCACAGGCTTTACAAAAGCAGAGATAACCAAGCAATGACAGTTACTGTTTCCAATGAGAAAGACTGAAATATTATCTATTCAGATATTTTCTTAACACTGTGGTTTTACGTTTGGAAAAAAACACATCTTACACACCTACCTTCTACTCTCTCATCTCCCCCACCCCGAAATCCCAGATACTAGCAAGGATTCCAGCAGGAATCTTTGACTCCTCCTCTTGTATTTTGTGACCCTGATAGTGCCCTCTTTCTTTATGAAGTCAGACTGGCATTCTTTTTGCCATAAACTTAGGCAGACCTGGGTTGTAGTCCTTATTTTTCAAACTAACAAGTATACTTTAGACCGTCACTAACCACCCCGAGCCTCAGTTTCCCAAATTATAAAATGGAAAATGTAATATTTATCTCACAGAATTTCAGGGGTATTAATGAATGCACCTGACTCAGAGAGCATGTTTAATTTATATTATGTTCCCCAACTCCTTCCTCCCTTCTTACGTGGGTGAAAGTCACCAGTTACCACAGAAAGCAGAAAAGAATGTAGTTTCTAGGTAGCATCCATGGTCATATTTACCCAATTGAGCTTAAATATAAAAGGTGAGAATAAAAATGAGCCCTGGGACCTGACAGGAAGAAAATGAACGGAACGATGCATGAATTACCATACAGTAAAATGTGCATCTTTAAGTATTCACACAATGTAGAGTGATAGCTTGATCTTAGTTTCTCAAAATATTTATTATACCCAATAGATTTATGAAACTGCATAAGACTTGAACATGTAAAGAATTCAAACCCCGCCGTCAGATCTCAGAGAGATGAATGTGGGCAATAATCACACTGAGCACATTTCCGAAGTGCCCGCATGAGGCCCTCTGCTGTGTGTTCCCCATGCTCTGTCTCATGTCGTCCTCACAGTCACTCCACCTGGGAGGTATTGGTATCCCTATTCTACAGATGAAGTGACTAAGAATCACAGGAGTTTCTTTAAAATTCTCAAAGTGATATAACTATAAAAGGCGTAGCAGAAATTTAAACCCAGGAGTTTCATCCCAATTCGTGCATTCTTACATTTCCCCAGCACTCTGTAATTTGCAAAGTCCAGTATTTTGACTTGCATGTGTCTTAGTTGCTTCTCAAAACTACTGCCCTTCTAGTTTACCTGGGAGACTTATGTCTTTTCCCTCATAAAGCTGAAGCAAGTTAGGCTCAGGTAGGTTCAGTGATTTGTTTGGTGTCAGTGGAGGCAGGACTTCAGTGGGAGGATCTGGATGGGGTGACAAGGCAGAGCCCTTCTTCCAGGTTTCTGGAAGACACATGCTTATAAACCTGTAACTATAAAGGGAGAACTCTTGAGTAAAATTAAAATTAATGAATAAACTATGAATTCAATGAATATTTATAGATAGTCTTCTGTGCACTACACTGGACTACTCTGTGAACGTGAATATAAAGCAAGGTGGTGACGATCAGAGGCAGTCTGGTTGAGCCCTGGGGTATTGTTTGTATCTAACCGCAACAGAATTAGCCAGCCTTTTCATTCATTGTATGTCCACCACTAAAAAAACAGGCAAGCTTTCTCATTATGCTATGATATGAAATTACTTTTCATTTCACCCACACTGCTTTACAAAAATTCACAAGCATTTTAAGCAAAATGGCACCATCTGGGTGGGAAGTTCTGGCTCGCGTGGAGGAGCTGGAGGTGGGCCCGCAGCTCATGGCTGTACTTTTGAGCGTACACACTGAAGGAGCATATGGTATGAAAAGAGCAAAGTCCGTGGGCTCTCCTCGCTAAACCGGCAACGTAACAGACCTGTAAACAACAGTACCCTGCATGGAATGGGAAGTGAGGGGCAGGCGGGGAAAGAGGGCTTAACTAGGGAACTTGGGTTGTGAGCAGCAGGAAGGCTCTGGTGGCCAGGCAATAGGGCGGAGGGTGTTCCAGAGACTTAGAAATTATCCCCAATGACATCTTGACTCAAGACCGTCCTACTGTACTCCTCTTTACAGAGAAACAAGGGGTGGCTTCAAAGTTGGCAGCCACTGGAGCTTGTGTGATGGTAAGGGGAACAAAGCTATCTGCTGAGATGTCAGGAACCAGTGTCACCAGGCAGGGTTTCCGGGAGGACGTGACACTCGCCGCGCTAGAAAGGAGGCACTCGAGATGGGGGAGCTGACCTTGCAACACAGTACTCTCAGGACTTCCTGTCCTTTCCACGCACGGCTGGACTCAGACAATACGCAGGAGGTAGAAGAGGTAATTATTGAATTATTAGCATGATTTGCTGTTGGGGTGCATTGCCTAGGTTTGTTTTTTGTTTTTTAAATTTCAGTGATGCTTCTTTAATCAGGAACTCCTTCTTACCTTCATGACAATAGTATAATAAACCTTAAATCTTGATGATGGATTATCGTATACCTTAAAAACCAACACACTTTCAGTTGCACCGATTTCAGTCATTCTGGGTCTTCCCTTGCAGCTGTCCCCTGTGGTAACGCATGCGTCCTCTCTGCCCTCTCCAGTTATGGCATGCGCTCTCCCCTATCTTCGACCTTTCATTTCTTTCAGCACATTTTTAAGTCCCTACCCCATAAGCAGCAATATACTAGACTTTGAGGATGACTGAAAAACTCAATATACAGACTCTGGCTCTGAGGATCTTTTAAACTGAGACCAGATTATAATATGAACTATAGGAATACATGGAAGGGAAAGATTGCTGTGTAGTGAGCAAGTCAGGACATGTTTTGAAGAGAAAACATAGCAGGATCTTGAGCTTTGCAAAAGATTTGGACAGAGGGAGAAGTTTTCTGGCTAGTGTCTCATTCAGAGGTCAATGAGGAAATGGATTTCCTGGTTCAGGCATCCTGCTGAGGTGTCTCAGGTGGCTGCCTGGGATAGGAACAGTAATGTCAGGCCACAGAGGACCCTGAACACTAGAAGGAAAAAAAATCACTTTAACATTTATTGATGACACTATGTGACAGACACTGTTTGGTGAATTTCACATTATTTGATAAAGTTGTCATGATGATTAAATGAGACATGCATAAAATTACTGAGCACCAGACTGGTACTGGATAATTGCTTACTGAATGCAGCCTTCAGTGTCACATGGCTGCTGCTGCCGTCATTACTGTTACTATTCATTACCTACCACAGGCCTAATAAGCCATATTACAATCCCATAAGATACCACTGCCCCACTTTTTTCTGAAGAGAAAAAGTTTCAGAAAACATCTTAGAAATACTCACAGTGTTTTTCAGTTCTTAGAATCTATATGTAATAAGCAAAGGAACTTAGGTTTTATTCCAAGGTTTCTTTTAAAATCAGAGAAATTTTATCAGAGAAATAAATTTTGCCATAGTTCAAGATTGAAAAGCATTCTGAGAACATTTAGCATGAGAAACAGGGCATAGCCCAGCTGGAAATACTGTAATAAATACATTACATACATTAAATACTGCCGCCTCAATAGACAAAACAATGTCATGTACATTGTGG